TTTTTTTTTTTTTTGCTTACCCTTTATGAGCACCACTAGTTGTACCGGTTCGCGTATGTGGTGTTGTACTAATGCGGAAAAGCGAAAGGATGCAAATATCCCATTTTCTTTTGGATTTTCATCACTTTAGTAAACGTGTCTGTGCTAGTCGGACCAGCGCCTCGCGTGCACACACACACACACACACACACACACCTGTATCGTTCACTGGTGAGATTTTTTTTTTTTTCAGCGTTTGGATCCTGTTCGACAGAGACGCCACTGGCACCGACATGCACATGGATATCGAAGCCCATTCATGCAAGAAGGTTTATTTGGGCAAACAGCCGCTGCAGCCGCTCATGCTGCTCATCATGCAGCCACCACTGCAGCGCAGCATGCTGCACAACATGCAGCGGCTGCAGCTCAGCAAGCAGCAGCTGCTGCGGCCGCTCATTTCACTCAGGTAATAATCGGATCTTAGTCAACAGTTTGTAGAAGTTGTGTTAGAATGGCTTTAGTAGTGGTCCATTAGTTCGATCTTGGGTCTTGGATTAGTGCGTAAAAAGATAAATTACTGTTAGGGCTTGCAAGCCGGCTTTATCACTCATTGGACATAGGCATCAATCAATTTTTTTTAGAATATGAATGCGACTAATGAGAACGGAGCGGATGGACGTCCGGCACAGTTCCGTGATTCAGTGGCACAGGGTATGGAGTATCTGAAGGAAGTGGGCACCCAGATACAACAAGCACTTTCTAACTTCGGTAATATATAAGTCCTACAAAATTTTAACGGAAATTTTTTCTGCATCTTTTATGCGGCTTGTAATTTAGGGGGCAAAAAATTGCTGGACGAATTCGGGGATGTAAAAGTTTTTGAACATGCTTTTCACATACTGGCAGTTCCTCCCCTCTTTTTTATTGCTTTATTGTATAATAAGCTGTAGACGCGATGCTAATGTGCACCAATCCAGTCATTTCAGGAATTGACGTTGATATGGATGTCCAGCATGGCGGAGAAACCGAAAAGATTCCAAAACCGGACAATTCTGGCAATGAAATGACTGAACCAAACGGGGAGGA